CTAACTGGAAACTTCTCTAGTTGGGCTTTATCATAAATGGTGGCACCCAAGAGTAAACACAACAAATCCAGGTGTGGTCTGCCCAAAATGAACTCTAGACTTCCAGTGCAACATCACATAAGCCAGTGTAATAAGATTTTAAATTAGAATCATTTCTGACTCAGTTTTGACTGAGACCACTAGACAATAAAGACAAAATTCCAAAATGAAAGAAGAGACCCAGGCCGGAGTTGCAAAAATGGTGTCTGAGAACCAGTTTTGGAGCCCCTAGTGGGCCAGCTATCTCTCTCCCCTTCAAAACAAACAAAAAGCAAATAAAATTAACTCCAAGAAAGGAGTTAGAGATTAGGAGATAATTTTTGGAGGGAGCTATTGATATGCACTGAATACCACTTTTATGTCACCACTGAGGGGGCAGACACTGGGAGTTCTTGAATCTCACTTTAAGCCTAAAGAGTAAGACTTCAGTTCGTCTACTCTGAACACTTGGTATTTGCTCCCTGGATCTACAGATACAAGGTAAACCTCTGCACATCTCCAGCTAAGAAATCTAAGGAACAAAAGTTGTAGCAGGCACATTGCCTGCATGATGGAGGGTGACTGCATGTTGGAGGAGTGCCTATAAAGAGATTGGCCTGTGTACAGGGGTGCAGATATTCACATCACTGGAATGAAGTGGTGTCTTTGTGCTTTGAAATGACTAAAATACATTATATCACCGGAAATATTACCTGAAAATGACATAAATGTCATAGAACTTGCCCTATATTTTATTCAAGGGTCAGGGGAAGAATAGGCCCAGACCAAATGGACTTGAAAGCACCATAGGAGACAAAAATGAAGTTGTTTTATGATTATACTTTTACTTTCCTGTGTTTTCAACTTACTAAGTTGTTTTATATATAGATAAATGGATAGATAAATATAGATATACATACACACATACATATATGTACACAGAAACATACATACCTATGTATATGCATGGCACATATGTAAAACAACAAACATAAAAATCATACTAGCTACAATTTGTTGCTTATTTATTGAGTTCTATGCACTGCATTAAGACCTTTACAAACGTTATTCATTTTTCACAGCCGTTTTATGGGACAAAATTCATAATTCTCATTTTATTGACAAGAAGGCAGCCTCAGAAATGTTAAACAGCTTGCTTAAGATCTGTCATACATAAATGGACTTAGCCTAAACTCAAGTCTGCCTGACTCTGAGGTCCAAGCTTTTAACCATCACTTTATTTTACATTAGTTATAGCTAGCATGGCCTTTGAGAATAGCAATTGATTTTATTGTTTAGATTTTTCCAGTGAGCACTGGAAATTTCAAAGGGAGTAAGAAGACTATTTATAGGATATGGTATAAGTCAGTTTACTCCTTCTAAGAACACATATTATCCTAATAGAGGGAACATTTTGTGACATTAATGGAAACAACAGAATTAACACAAAAGCATGCTGTTCTTGACACAAGAACTTGCTGTTCTGTTCAACTGAAAATGCAAGGCTGCCTCCACCTGCAGACCAAAAGGACAATTGCAATACCTAAAGCTCTACAATTACTTCTTTTAATAGACCAACAGCCAGGGTGCTAGATTAAGGATGTCATTTGACTGATCACCAGGTGGCTCTAAAGCCTCATCCAGGAGTAGTGCAAGCACTGGGTGAGTAGGAGCATGGTGCATAGTGAATTGACCAAAATGTTGGTCTTAGAGATCTTGCAGAATGAATAGCCCTGGAGCTGCAAAGATGACTAGGACACTCTTGCTAGCCTGGTATCCATCCTGAAGGACCCTGAATGTTTCAGAAGGGGAAAGTCCAATATTACTCCCTCTGTTGTAAAATGTGGGGGCTCTGAGAATTAAATTAGTACACATTTGTTGAGAGCCTATCATATGCCTGGTAGAATTTTAAGCATGTAGAATGCACTGGTGAACAAAAGATGTCTGTCTTCATGGAACTTAGATGAGATAATGTATCTGAAAATATTTTGTAAACCCTATTGAGCAACACACAGTGATAACTTTTCTTCATGTTTATAATAAATTAGAAAACACTGATTTTTAACTAATATGCTAGGTACTCTTATTGGGAGTGGTATTATGACTTAAGACTGTTGTCAGAATTACCTGAATGGAGTTCTTTGCTTCCTGCTTCTGGTCCACTCACTGAAGAGTAAACCTCTCAAGGACTCGGATGAGTTCTTCCAATCGTTTATTTCCTCTGTGTCCCAAGAGAAAGTGCTAGAGTCAGAGTACACTGTTCATAATGTATGCTGGATGGAATGGAATTAAACAATAAAAGAGTTGATAAACCAAAATGTTGAAGCCTAGGGTGGGTCAGAATGCAAAAGAGATGTGTCTGTATAGATTGGTGAGCAGTTTATTCTGCATCTGTGCCCTCCATCCTCACAACTCCCTACACGTTTCTGAGAAGTGCACTCACATCCCATCCGTGAAGTCCTTACTGCTCTGTCAGTCTACGTGACTCTCCTGTCTTGTATCTCCTGTTACATTATGGCCTCACTCACAGAAATCAACATGCAAGCCTGGCTGTTTTATGTTATTCTCTAAAAGTAGTAAGCTTAAATTCAGGAACAATGCTATAGCTACCTGAATAATTCCCCACTCCCAATCACATATAATGTTCAGTGACCATTAGGAGCGAATGAGTGTTATAGTCTAGATCATTTTTGTGAAAGAATCTGATTTCCAGAGATATGTATGCGCATATGTGTGTTTGCATATGGGAGTATATATGCTCAGCATTTTTTGTTTGTTTGTTTTTATTTCTCTCCATTAAGTTCTGATATTTGGATTTGGGACCTACTGGTGCTAGTTAGGGAAGAGTTTGTAGCAAAGATGGAATTCAGATATCCTCTTTTCTAAAGCTTTGTCTGTGATTTGTAGTATATAACTCTAAAGAATTGATTTTCTTTTGTTGTTTTAAACTCATCTCTCAAAGTATGGCCATCTGTTTCAAAATCAGAATTTTTATAGAAAACACATGTCAAATATGAATTCCTGGCTTCCACTTCCAATTTCCTGAATCCAAATCTCTGGGAGTGGAATTCCTGGGTCTACATTTGTAACAAGTGTTCTTAGAGAGTCCAGTGTACACTCAGGTTGAAGAACTGCTGCCCTGGAGTGCACTGTTAGCAGGCAGAGTACATTGTGAAAGGCCCCTGCATGAAACGCCAGCAACAAGTCCAGGACTTCTCCTGCAAAGGGCACATGCTTTTGGAATTGGTTTGCTCTCCCGGATCAACAGTAAATCTTCATAGCATTTTAGATTTTAGGGCATAGGGAAAGATTCTCTGTGACTCACCAAAGCAGCATGTGTGGGTGTGTGTATTCCATGGGCAATGACATTCTTTGAATGAGCCCTTAAAAAACAGGTATTTTGTTCCCCAATTGTTAAATAAAATAAGTAAAATAAAAGCATCTGTGATGTACTTCACAGACTAGTTATAACGATTGCTAATGTGTACAGTAATCCCCCCTTCTCCTTGAGGAATATGTTCAAAGACCCTCAGTGGATGTCAGAAACGAAGGGCAGTACTGGACCCTACACACTCTATACGCAACAGTAGGTCAGATCACTGAGGCAGCTATTAAGTGACTAAGGGGTGGGTAGTGCATACAGTGTGGAAACGCTGGCCAAAGGGATGATTGATGTCTCACGTAGAGTGGGATGGCTCGAGATTTCATCACGCTATTCAGAACAGTGCTCAATTTACAACTGATGAATTGCTTATCCATGTAAGTTTCCATGTGATTTTTGCAGACCTTGATTAACCACTGGTAACTGAAACCTCAAAAGGGAAACTCTGGATTGCAGGGGTGGCACTGTAGACCCTGTATATAGAAATAATTAAGCTTCTATTCTGCCTATGGTTTTCCATGCAGCTTTTACATTTAAATTTACATTTTATATACATGAATAAAATGAATTAAAATTAGAAAAAAACAAAGTTTAGTCACAAAAGTTTATTATTGTAATAATGATTTATCAATACTGATTTTAGCCTTTTATACTATATATTGTGATCAAATAATTTTCAAATGGAAAAAAGTAATCCTCTTATGAGCTGTCGGTAAAATAAATATCTTAGTAGCTGATTTATTCCAGAGTAATTACCTATTTCTCAACTTTTCTCTGCTCCTTTCTTTCTCTCCCTCCCAGTTTCTTTCTCTCACTCTGTCTCCCCTTTGACATTCTCTCCTACATTAAGAATCATCACTTTGTTTTCACTGTTCTCATTCAAAAATTTTATTTTCGTATCTAGAAGTCTACCTGATGAAGAGAAAATGTTGATATATGTGCTTTTTAAAGCATATTAAAGAGTATTGGTTATGGAATTTTTAGACCTATTAAGGATACCTATTCAGATACAGGTAAAATTTCAGTTGCCCCTGTTATATATTAAAAACTTTTTTTTTTACAAAAAAGAAACAAACTTTCTTCCTAACATGTTTTTTTTTCTTTATTAGACACGTTTTCAAACACTGGTCCATGTGGGAAAAGTAATAATATATGAAATTCTTAGTCATGTTAATATTTTCCATTTAGCTATTATTGACAGACACTATTCTAAGTGACTTACAGACACAATATCTTTTATTCCTCATATGAAGAACAAACATTATATAAAGAAAATATGAATGCATGCATTTTCAGAAACTACAGCCCAAGGGCTCTCAGACCATAAATTCAGAGCAAGGATTTCCACCCAGAGCTGTCTGCATTAAAATGCATACTTATTCCCATTCTACGATGCTGAAAGGGTGGGAGCCGTGGCTGTCCCTGCTGCCCAGGTGCTACAAATCCTTCATGGGGCTGTTCTACACAACACTTTGGAATGCAAACTCCCTTGAGCAAGCACTTGTTTAGCATAGTTTCGCCAGTGGCCTGTCTGTCTAAGGTAGTCAGTGAATATTAAAATAGTCCTAACAATAAAATAACAGTCAGTCAACCATGTAGCCTTCTTCTGAGGGGGAGAATAGTTCACTCTCCCTAGAGGGCCTAAGAAGGATCAGTTTACAGGTTCCAGCATGGGGTGGGACCCTTCCTCCTTCCCCCGTCTTGGCACTGGCACTTGGTCTGGTGACCACCACTAGCCCACAGTTGGGTCAGAAAACGTTACAGAACTCCTCTCTCCCCCACCCGAAACACACTCAGCCCTTGCACTGACCTGGCTTCTGATTGGAGGCTGGTTGCTTCGGATAATAACCTCCAGGACCCCACTGTTGGTTACAGCCTGTTTGTAATATTCTTACTGCAACTCAAGACACCTGCGGCAGGGTGTGAGAAAAAGTAAAAGACCAGCATTTTCACATCCCCAAGTACCAGAAACACAGAAGACTGACACTCGCCACCTAAGTGGGGTCAGGGCTGGTGTCTGCCCATGTTGCCAACTGGATGGGCTGCTTGCCACAATGAGGGATCTTCTTCCATACATCGCTTGCTTCTTTGCCTTTTTCTCTACTGGGTTTTTGATTGTGGCCACCTGGACTGACTGTTGGATGGTGAATGCTGATGACTCTCTGGAGGTAAGAAGATAGCAACTTCTTTTCGTGACCCAGGCAAGCCCAAATTCTCGCTAAGTCCACCTGCCATATACAACATTCAGTATCTTTACTAAGGCTAATGATAGCAAAAATAGGCAACATGGACTGACTATTTGTTGAGTCTTTACATTGTCAACTCATTTAATCCTCATAGTTAATTTATGAGGTAGGTCTTGTTATCCCATTAAACAGATGAAGTTATTAAATAGTTCCTCTGTTTTTTTTTATAAAGATAAATTTGCAGAAGGGTAATTAAATGATCTCTGCTACTGAGACCTCCAGAAATGCGTATCTTCCATTGCTGCACATATCAAATTGAGTAACATTTCGTTACCACCCTTTTTTCTAAGATAAATTTGTTACTCTTGATGACAGCATTAAGAATAGTGTGAAAGACTTTTTTAAGGAGTATTAATAATCTAAAACATTGAGGAAGAAAATGCAAGGCATGCAAAACCTACCCAATTAACATGCAATAGGAAAAAACATTATCTTAATGATTTCCAAGTAAAAGAAAATATTTTGAGGGAGAAAAGGTCTTTCCAGTGCATCCCAATGTACAGGGGACAGGCAGGGACTTAAGTCCTCCCTTAAAATGAGTTGCTCTAGGGAACTGACTACTATGCAAAAGATGAGTGAGTGGGTTCACGTCTGAGGATTTTATTTTTCTCATTGGAGAAGCTCAGAAAGAAGAAATTTTGAAGTTCAAAAGCATTACCTGTGGCCACAGGAATCTGAGAGAGGCAGAACTGAGTAAAAAATCAAATCTTCAGAATTAGCTGCTGTTCATTAATGAGGCTTAGGAAAATACAGGTAAGAAAAAGAAACAATATTTCAAGAGCTCAGAAAAAGGAGTATATAGCAAAACAATTTGCTTTTTACTGTGCATCCTGAAGGGAACAATTTACCCTAGCAAATGCTATAATGTCACCTCTGTAAAGTTTAGCAAAGATACTTGAGTGAGTTTATATATTTTTCTTCTAATTTTCTTTATTAAACCCTCAAATTGGAGTTCCAAATGGAAAGTCATAATCATTCTATTTTGCTGTGCATTATTTTTGCTGCTCGCTTTTTCTTGCTTTTAATTTTCCTCTGACTTCAGCATGGCATTTCAAAACGAATGGAGTTATGAATACCTCTTTAATGCTAGAAAATTACATTTCCAAAAATTGTGATAGAATTGAACTACTGTAAAGGGTGTCTGCTATAAGTGAGCCCAGTGATGCATTTTCTCTGGCCACGAATATATGCAGAGAATGAAATAAATGCCCTTTGAACAGTGCTCAGGGAAAAGTACAGATAAAACGTTCTGCTCTCATTAGTTTGCCATTATCTAGACGGCCAGTGGTAGCTGATGAATAAGAAATATGGTGAACTTGAGCATAATTATAATTATGTTTTTTAAAATGCAAAAAAATGTAAAATCCCATTTAGAGGCATTGTTAAAATATTTTCTAAAACAATTTAAAAGTCTTTCTGCTTAAGCTGACATAATTGCTAACTTCATTTGATAGGAAATAGTTTTAGAAAGGGTCAAACCTTGCGGAGAGAGAGATTGAGAGTCCTGGAATTTAAAGTGTCTTCTCTCATTTTAGTACAGCCAACCAATTTGCCATCTGTCCCATGAAATAATACTTCCAGTTAAAATGAATGGAAGGAGCAGTCCTGGTTACACACCTCAAGTAAACCCTTGCTAACCTTGAAAAATAGTTAATATTTCTTAGCTTCCTTCTTATTTCCCATACTTAAAATGTATTGCTATAATATTCCCAAGAAGCCTTCACATTTAAAGGAAGAGGCCAGGCGTGGTGGCTCACACCTGTAATCCCAATACTTTAGGAGGCCAAGGCGGGCGGATCACAAGGTCAAGAGATTGAGACCATCTTGGCCAACACAGTGAAACCCCATCTCTAACAAAAATACAAAAATTAGTTGGGCATGGTGACATGCGCCTGTAGTCCCAGCTACTCAGGAGGCTGAGGCAGGAGAATCGCTTGAACTAGGGAGGAGGAGGTTGCACCGAGCCGAGATTGTGCCACTGCACTCCAGCCTGGCGACAGAGCGAGACTCCATCTAAAAAACAAAGAAGAACAAGAAGAAGAATCCTGTAACAAATCCGGCCTCCTCTTTCAACAATCTCTTTAGTTGTCAGTATTTTTAAAGAGATAAAAATCTCTTATAATAATTGCTACTTCAACAGGCCAGGATAGAAAGTTATATTATCCACAAATTTGAAGGTTCTGATACTAGCTCAATTGCTTTTCTCTTTTCTTGCTCCCATCCTCATTTATATATCACCTTTGGTCCATAGAACAACTCACTTTATGTTTTTATTTTTATTTTTTTTATAGATGGGGTCTCACGCTGTCACCCAGGCTAGAGTGTACTGGTGCGATCATATCTCACTGCAGATTCAAGCTTCTAGGCTCAAGTGATCCTCGCACTTCAGCCTCCCTAGTAGCTAGGACTACAGGTGCATGCCGCTACAGCTGGCTAATTTTAAAATTTTTTTGTAAGAACAAGGACTTTCTCTGTTCTTTAGGCTGGCCTCCAACTCCAGGTCTCAAGTGATCCTCTTGCCTCAGCCTCCTAAAGTACTGGGATTATAGGAGTGAACCACCACAACAGCTCACTTTAATCAATTGTTGGACAAAAGTCAATGAAACAAGTGTTTTGTTTTGTTTTGATTTTTTGAGGAAAAAAAAGGAATACCAATAGACAATTTAAATATGAAGGAGTATTATACTTTTCTAGGTTTTTTTTTTTTTTAAGTATTTTTGGATGATGTTGGCATGGGAGTTAGAAGAGTTTTGTGGTTCAATTCAATATAAAAAATATATGCAATTATAAATATAAAAGGAATGATGCTACTCCTACTAGAAGAGACAAAGACAAAGCAAAAATGGCGTCTGCCTTTCAGGAGTGCACATTTAATGAGGGGAAAACAAAGATACACCTGAAACTATAATAAAAAGCATAAATGAATTCATATTTTGAGAAAGAAATAAGCGAGGTATCATTGGGGAAGAAAATAAACAATGATCACTTCCTATCAGGGACATCGAAGCAGGTCTCATGAAAGAAAAGGCATTTGAGCAAAGCATTGAAACAATGTAAAGCATTTCAAATTGTAGAAATGGCAGCAGGGGCCTTTCAGATAAGGGGACAAAGTGGCAAAAGTGCAAAGTGAGGAAAAGCTCAGGGCTTGTTAGAGGAGTAAAGTGAGTAACACAAAGCAGGAGGCAGAAAAAGCTCAGATATTCTTTTTGCCTACCACACTCTACCTATCTTGAATGAAGTTCTTTGTATTGGGTAAAAATGTTACGAAAGAAAATAGCACACAGAATTGCAATGTGCACAACCCTAAATCAGTGACTAGAGGCCCTCAGCTGCTATCCTGCTCTTGTCATTATTGATTCATTTGTGTCTCTGAGAAGACGGATGGGGAGAAGAGAATTTGGGTTTTGAGATTTTTCAAGCATGTGTTTGCATCTTAAGCCTTATTCACTGTCTTCTATTAAGCAAGTCACATTTCTTGTCTTTGGCTCAGTTTTTTCAATTATATAGTTGAACTCAGTTGTTTCTAAGGTCCTTTTCAGTCTTTTTTTTTTTTTTTTTTTTTAAGTTTTTTTTTTTTTTTTTTTTTTGAGACAAGGTCTCCATGACTGTCTGAAACTCCAGAGAGCTGGACACTCACTAATGGACTGGTGGTGTCTGGTGCTTCCCCAGGCATTTCCATTGGGAATCTAGTGGGAGTATCCTCCATTGTTCTGTAACTTCATATACTCTCCCTTCCTTCATTCCAACTTTTTTCTCTTTCTCCTTCATTTCCTTGTTCCTTTCTTCTTCTTCTTTATTTCCCCTCTCTCTTTCCCTCCCTTTTCTTACCTCCTTCTCTTTTCCTCCCTTTTCTTACCTCCTTCTCTTTTCCTCCTATATCCTTCTTTTTCTTTCTTTCCCTTTCTCCTTCATCTCTTTATCCCTGCATTTCTCTCTCTTTTCTTTCTACCTTTTGTCATTTCACAAATAATCTTGGACAACTTCTGTATACTTGGAACCATGGTGGGTACAGGGTTATGAAGTAGGATGAGACCTGGAGCCTCTCTAGGCTGCTCCCAGTGTAGTCAGTGGGACAAACAGGTGAACCGACAGTTATAGCATGATGGAGCAGATACTATGATAATGAAAACCCTAAGCGGGTGGCTCACTTGGTCTTGGATAACCAGTGAAAGCTACCCAAAAGAAGAGATATCTAAACTAGGACTTGAAGAACAGGTGAGTGAAGCAGGAGAAGTAGAGAGTATTCCAAGCTCAGGAAATGGCAGGAACTGAGATCAAGGTACAAGAGCACTGTATGTTTGTGATATTTCATATATTTCATCATGGTAAGAATTTCCAGTTTAGAGAAAAGAATACAGGGGTTGGGTCCTCAGAAGTTTTGCATAGCATGTAAAATATAGATCTTATATCACAGGCAAGGGTTTGTCGCTGTAAGCAATATGTACATGTATTTTAGAAAGATTAATCATTCTGGCTATCTTTGGGGAGAGATTGGAAGGGTAAAATGAGGTGTGGGGAGAACAACTAGGAGACTTTTGTTCTAGACCAGAAGGGAAACAATAGTGGTTTGAACTTGAGTGGCAGCAAGCGTGAAGAAATATGAAATATGGGAGACTCTAAAAATATCAAATTGATGAGAGTGATAATTGACTGCCAGTGGGAGAGTAGGTGATGAGGAGAGAGAGTCAAAGTTGAAATCTGCCTTTCTGATCTGGGGCAATTGGAGGGCTGGTGATGTTATTCACCAAGAGCTTACATGAATGAAAATTAGTGGCTATACAGAAATCCTCATGAAGCAATGTCCCTGAACCATCCTACTATTTTTTTTCTGCTTAGCTTATTATACAATACTTAGAGGTAGGAACACAATTCTTTACAGTGGAGAAGTTTACAGATTTAACTGTGTATCAGAGGGAGCTGAG